ATGAGAACAGACCTCCCTACTCCAGCCTTAACCATCTTTTCTGAGGCACCACTGTAAGCCTACTAACCTACTGTATCACCCCCTCCGTGGGCTAATGAGAACAGACCTCCCTACTCCAGCCTTAACCATCTTTTACTGAGGCACCAAAGTAAGCCTACTAACCTGCTGTATCACGCCCTCTGTGGGCCAATGAGAACAGACCTCCCTACTCCAGCCTTAACCGTCTTTTACTGAGGCACCAATGTAAGCCTACTAACCAACTGTATCACCCCCTTTGTGGGCTAATGAGAGCAGACCTCCCTACTTCAATCTTAATCATCTTTTACTGAGGCACCTCTGTAACCCTTGTAACCTAGTGTTTCACCCCCTTTGTGGGCTAATGAGTGCAGACCTCCCTACTCCAGCCTTAACCATCGTTTACTGAGGGACCACTGTAAGCCTACTAACCTGCTGTATCACCCCCTCTGTGGGCCAATGAGAACAGACCTCCCTTTTAACTGACTGAGGCACCAATGTAAGCACTGTAAGCCTTAATCATCTTTTACTGAGGCACCTCTGTAAGCCTACTCCCACACCAGCATTAACCATCGTTTACTGATCAGCCCTAACCTACTGTGGGCTAATGAGAACAGACCTCCCTTCTCCAGCCTTAACCATCTTTTACTGAGGCTCCACTGTAAGCCTACAAACCTACTGTATCAGCCCCTCTGTGTGCTAATGAGAGCAGACCTCCCTACTCCAGCCTTAACCATCTTTCTCTGAGGCACCACTGTAAGCCTACTAACCTACTGTATCACCCCCTTTGTGTGCAAATGAGAACAGACCTCCCTTCTCCAGCCTTAACCATCTTTTTACTGAGGCACCAATGTCAGCCTACTAACCTAACCCCCTGTATCACCCTCCCTTGGGCCTAATGAGAGCAGACCTCCCTACTTCAGCCTTAACCATCTTTTACTGAGGCCCCAATGTAAGCCTACTAACCAACTGTATCACCCCCTTTGTGGGCTAATGAGAGCAGACCTCCCTTCTCCAGCCTTAACCATCTTTTACAGAGGCACCACTGTAAGCCTACAAACCTACTGTATAACCCCTCTGTTGCTAATGAGAAAAGACCTCCCTACTCCAGCCAACCATCTTTCTCTGAGGCACCACTGTAAGCCTACTAACCTACTGTATCACCCCCTTTGTGTGCAAATCAGAACAGACCTCCCTTCTCCAGCCTTAACCATCTTTTACTGAGGCACCAATGTCAGCCTACTAACCTACTGTATCACCCCCTCCGTGGGCTAATGAGAGCAGACCTCCCTACTTCAGCCTTAACCATCTTTTACTGAGGCACCAATGTAAACCTACTAACCAACTGTATCACCCCCTTTATGGGCTAATGAGAGCAGACCTCCCTACTTCAGCCTTAATCATCTTTTACTGAGGCACCTCTGTAAGCCTTGTAACCTAGTGTTTCACGCCCTTTGTGGGCTAATGAGTGCAGACCTCCCTACTCCAGCCTTAACCATCGTTTACTGAGGGACCACTGTAAGCCTAACAACCTACTGTATCACCCCCTCTGTGGGCTAATAAGAGCAGACCTCCCTACTCCATCCTGAACCATCTTTTACTGAGGCCACTGCCCTTATCCTAACCATCTTTTTAATGAGAGCAGACCTCCCTCTCCAGCCTTAACCATCTTTTTAAGAGGCACCACTGTAAGCCTACAAACCTACTGTATCAGCCCCTCTGTGTGCTAATGAGAAAAGACCTCCCTACTCCAGCCTTAACCATCTTTTACTGAGGCACCACTGTAAGCCTACTAACCTACTGTATTACTCCCTCTGTGGGCTAATGAGAACAGACCTCCCTACTCCAGCCTTAACCATCTTTTACTGAAGCACCACTGTAAGCCTACTACCCTACTGTATTACTCCCTCTATGGGCAAATGAGAACAGACCTCCGTACTCCAGCCTTACCATCTTTGACTGAAGCACCACTGTAAGCCTACTTACCTACGGCATCACCCCCTCTCTGAGCTAATGTCAGCAGACCACCCTACTCCAGCCATAACTATCTTTTACTGAGGCACCACTGTAAGCCTACTGACATACTGTATTACCACCAATGTGGGCTAATGAGAGCAGACCTCCATATTTAAGCCTTAACCATCTTTTACTGAGGCACCACTGTAAGCCTCCAAACCTACTGTATCAGCCCTTCTGTGTGCTAATGAGAACAGACCTCCCTACTCCAGCCTTAACCATCTTTCTCTGAGGCACCACTGTAAGCCTACTAACCTACTGTATCACCCCCTTTGTGTGCAAATCAGAACAGACCTCCCTACTCCAGCCTTAACCATCTTTTACTAAGGCACCAATGTAAGCCTACTAACCTACTGTATCACCCCCTCTGTGGGCTAATGAGAACAGACCTCCCTACTCCATCCTGAACCATCTTTTACTGAGGCACCACTGTAAGCCTACTAACTAACTGTATCACCCCCTTTGTGGGCTAATGAGAGCAGACCTCCCTACTTCAGCCTTAATCATCTTTTACTGAGGCACCTCTGTAAGCCTTGTAACCTAGTGTTTCACCCTCTTTGTGGGCTAATGAGTGCAGACCTCCCTACTCCAGCCTTAACCATCTTTTACTGAGGGACCACTGTAAGCCTACCAACCTACTGTATCACCCCCTCTGTGGGCTAATAAGAGCAGACCTCCCTACTCCATCCGAACCATCTTTTACTGAGGCACGACTGTAAGCCTACTATCCTACTTTATCACCTTCTCTGTGTGCTAATGAGAGCAGACCTCCCTACTCCAGCCTTTACCATCTTATATTGAAGCACCACTGTAAGCCAACAAACCTACTGTATTAGCCCCTCTGTGTGCTAATGAGAACAGACCTCCCTACTCCAGCCTTAACCATCTTTCCCTGAGGCACGACTGTAGGCCTACTAACCACCTGTATCACCTCCTCTGTGTGCTAATGAGAGCAGACTTCCCTACTCCAGCCTTAACCATCTTTTACTGAGGCACCACCGTAAGCCTACTAACCTACTGTATCATCCCCTCTGTGGGCTAATGAAAACAGACCTCCCTACTCCAGCATTAACTATCTTTTACTCAGGCACCACTGTTAGCCTACTAACCTACTGTTTCACCCCCTCTTTTGGCTAATGAGAGCAGACCTCTCAACTCAATCCTTTACTATCTTTTACTGAAGCACCACTGCAAGCCTACTAACCTACTTTATCACCCAGGGTTTTCCACAATTGAAAATTTAAACATTTAAGCTCATGAAACGTTGACATCATGAGCGCGAAGCGCAAAGTCTTTGCAGCTGGCGTCCTCCTTTAATATATATAAGATACTTTGTTTTTGGACATGACCCACCCCACCACTGCCTCCAGATTAGTAAATTCACTCATATGCAGAAATTCAACTTAATGGTGACTCATATTATGTGTATGAGAACCCTTCCTTCTCTCACAACACTTGCGAGTGTATTGGAAGCATTAAAGCCTCATCTTTTAGAACCATTTTGAAAAAAGGCAATCACAGCATTCTAATAACTTTTTACAAGGTCTTGAGTCTGGTATCTTTTAGTAAACCTGGTTTAGGGACTTGGGGGGAGGGGGGATTTGATGATCTGTTAACATTGCTAAAATCACAGATGCATTTAGCCACTGGGTTTGCATGTTTGATATACACTACAATTATTTTGTTTGAGGCTATTTGGTTTTATATAAACTCAAATACTAATAATATCAGTGTTTCATGGGAAATATGTTCAAACCCTTTCACTGCTAGTGGTGATTTTGTCAACATTTCTGAAACATCAAAACCTTTGAAAATTTCTCGAACCATAGGACATTGTTATTCACTGGAAAGCTTTCATCAAACAGTTTCCAATGAATACCAACACTATAGGGTATGGATGATTTCGAAAGATTTTCTCCTCTTAGAAATTTTGACCAAGTCACCAACAGCAATGAAAGGGTTAAGGTCACGAATTTCGACAGTAAAGTGAAAGTCTTAGGTAAAGGTCAAAGTTGTCAGTTAATGCAAAACTGCATTGTAACGGCGATTTGAAAGTTTTTTTAGCTTAATTTTTGGAACCTTGGGAAGAAAATCATTGAACAGTTCGGACAGATTTTTCTTCTAAGATTCCAGGAAAACATGATTTCAGTACATTAATTTTTCAAATTTATCTGGGGGAGGGATCCCAGACCCCCTCCTTGCTGCCCCCCCCCCCCTTTCAGCAATCCCTGGATCCGCCCCTGACAGGTGTAATCAAAGTTTTTTCAGACCCTTAATTTCCCTTAAGTGTTCACTTAAACCTGAACAAAGCCCAAAAACTTGAAAACTAAGGAATGGAGCATGACGCCAAAACAATTTGTTATAATTCTGCTTCGACCAACCCTTGATTCTGTGTGAAAACTTGTGGACCCAACAATTTGGCATCATTTTTCATGGTTCATAGGGTCTTGTTGCTCTGAAGCTTGGCCTGAAGATTTCTTTCAGTTTTCAAAAATATTGCTCCCATCAACAATTGCAGGCACTACCCAGACATGAAATGGGGCCCTGTTGATCTGCAGTGAAATGGTCTACAAATGAGCTGTACCCCCTTTAAACTGTTGTTTATTACACATTGTACAAAAGAATACATTCTCGTAAAAAACCCTACTGCATCAAAAAACATTCAGTCCCTGAAAAATAGAATGAAGCTTCCCATGTGGGACAGGAGTAATGAAAATAGTTTGATGACCTCTAATTTTTGTTTTCACGTGAATGTGAAGAATTGTGACAATATTGAAGAATTAGTGGTGGAACATGGAGACAAAATGACTTGTTATCATTCTGCTTCACCCAACACTTGCTGTTGTGAGATCATTTGTGGACTTTGAAATCAATCGTTGTTAGTCACGTTGCATTGGAACAAGCAGCTTTCAATCATGGCCTCAGGCTACGTTCCATGCTCAAAAAGACATTTGTGGGACACAGTTAAATAGCGCACCCAGATTTGAACTGTGGATCTTTTGATCTGCAATTAAATGCTCTACCACTAAGCTATAACCCCCAAATGCCTTGTCAAGCAGTTATTAAAAACAAGAAAATAAGTGAATCTACAAACCCTGCTCAATCAAAAGACATTCATCCTTTCAAAGGAGAGTAATTCTTCCCCAAGTAGTAAAGGAGTCATCAAATTTGTTAGCAGACATCTAACTTGTCTTATGTTTTCACTTTTACCTGAATAAAATCTAAAAACTTGAAGAATAAAGAGTGGAGTGTGAAGCCAAAACAATTTGATATAACTCTCCTCCAACCAACTCAAGAGTTTGTCTGAGAAATTGTGGGCCTCAGGATGTCCATCAATCTTTATCCGTACTGCTCCTGGACATAGTTGCACGCACTACCCACATTTGAAATGAGGCCCTGTTTATCTGCAGTCAAATGCACTACGAATGGGCTATACTCCCACTGATGCTATTTTTTTGTCAGACATTGCAAAATTGAATGCATTCATTACTGTACAAAGCGCAGGCCATCAAAAACACTCAGTCCCTGCCAAATAGAATAATGCTTTCCAAGTGGCACAGGAGCAATGAAAATTGTCATCTGACCTCTAATTTCACTTAAGTTTTCACAAGAATGCAAAATAAATCCACAAATTTGAAGAATTAGTAGCAGAACATGAAGACAAATCATTTTGTCACAATTTTGCTTCAAACAATACTCCTGTTTTTTGATTTCAGACTCCTGAGGGGACTAGGTCACGCTGGTGTCGGATATAAAAGTTCCCATTCATTTACCCATGTACTGTTTTAAATGTTCATTTCTGAAGCACTTTTCGTTCTTTCCAAGCCTCCATCGATTTCAAGATTTTGCATCATAATTCTGAATGCCTGCAAATGTAGTTTTTCTTGACTGTAGTCAATTTAAATCAATTTATCACCACCATCCTAATCCTCCTTGTAGTGAAAAAAACTACACGTCGCATAATCCTCCTGATTCACGGGCAGAAAGAGTTCATCGCTATGCATTAGAAATTATCAAGCATCTTTCCATATTTGTTTGTTTAGCCTGGTTAGAGCATGCTAATTGTTAAGTACTCACAGGTCTGCTTAGTCATGCTTACCAGTGAACTAGCTGTTTGCTAGGTTTGTAGTTAGCTAACATAATATTTGTTGCATTTAAATGCCAGCTAGCGAAATGCTCATGGTTTAACACTAAGTAAGTAGCCAAAAAAATTACAATTAACGTTTTTTTATTGACTTACCTAGCTCGCTAGCAAGGCTAGCAAACTAGCAAGCTTGCTATTTTGCTAGCTTAATTGCTTATATTTGGTGAATATTACTGCTAGCTAGCTTGCTAAATTACAGTGAGTAATACTAAACTAAGCATTTACTGTTTGCTATCAAATTATGTACACCAGGTATAATTAGCTAATTAGTTGGCTAGGTAGGTATTTCGCTGGATTTGCTAGTTACATTTGGTGCATATCAATGCTAATTAGCTAGCTTTATTGCAAAATATGTATGAGGATTTTGCAAAAGGGGACCACAAACTGGAATACAAATGCCAATGCATAATATTTATGACAATGAACAACACAGTTGATGTTACCTTTTGGCTCTGTATAGCCGGTAGGGAAATCTTGGAGGGATCCATTTCATGAAATTAATTTGAGGTTGAGCAATTCCGGAAAGTATCCAAACCCCATTATACATTTCAATGGGGATTTTACTTCTGTCACCAAAATATAAGTAGCTGTGGTGTAGTCAACTTAATATGCTATTTGGAGTACATTTAACCACACATTGTTACCTGCTAGCTTATTGGGGCTTGAAGCCCACAACCAAGGTTTGACAAATTGTTTCAATGTCCTTAAGCATGACGCTTGGACGCAGGTTCAGGGGGCACCCAGAGTAGAACTGGGGACCTCTTGATCTGCAGTCAAATGCTTTCCACTGAGCTATACCCCCCTGATGCCTTATGAAACAAGTTATTCAAAAAAGAAAATAAGTGAATTTACAAATGCCTTATGAAACAAGTTTCAAAAAAACAAAATAAGTGAATTTCAAACCCTGCTCTTTCAAAAGACATTTGTACTTTCAAAGGAGAGTAATTCTTCCCCAAGCAGTAAAGGAGTCATCAAATTTGTTAGCAGACATCTAACTTGCCTTAAGTTTTCACTTTTACCTAAATAAAATATAAAAACTTGAAGAATAAGGAGTGGAGTGTGAAGCCAAAACAATTTGATATAACTCTCCTGCAACCAAATCTTGAGTTTGTCTGAGAAATTGTGGGGCTCAGGATGTCCATCAATCTTCATCCGTAGTGCTCCTGGACACAGTTGCACGCACTACCCACATTTGAAATGGGGCCCTGTTCATCTGCAGTCAAATGCACTCTGAATGGGCTATAATCCCACTGAATGGGCTATAATCCCACTGATGCTATTTTTTGTCAGACATTGCAAAACTGAATGCAGTCAAGTTACTGTACAAAGCGCAAGCCATCAAAAACATTCAGTCCCTGCCAAATAGAATAATGCTTCCCAAGTGGCACAGGAGCAATGAAAATTGTCATCTGACCTCTAATTTCACTTAAGTTTTCACAAGAATGCAAAAAAAAATCCACAAATTTGAAGAATTAGTAGCAGAACATGCAGACAAATCATTTTGTTACAATTTTGCTTCAAACAATACTCCTGTTTTTTGATTACAGACTACTGAGGGGACTAGGTCACGCTGGTGTCGGAAATAAAAGTTCCCATTCATTTACCCATGTACTGTTTTAAATGTTCATTTCTGAAGCACTTTTCATTCTTTCCAAGCCTCCATTGATTTCAAGATTTTGCATCATAATTCTGAATGCCTACAAATGTAGTTTTTCTTGACTGTAGTCACATATAATTTAAATCAATTTAATTTATCGCCACCATCCTAATCCTCCTTGTAGTGAAAAAAACTACACGTGGCATAATCCTCCTGATTCACGGGCAGAACGAGTTGATTGCTATGCATTAGAAATTATCAAGCATCTTTCCATATTTGTTTGTTTAGCCTGGTTAGAGCATGCTAATTGTTAAGTACTCTCAGGTCTGCTTAGTCATGCTTACCAGTGAACTAGCTGTTTGCTAGGTTTGTAGTTAGCTAACATTATATTTGTTGCATTTAAATGCCAGGTAGTGAAATACTCACATTTCAACGCTAACTAATTAGCCAAAAAAATTACAATTAACTTTTTTTTTCACTTACCTGGCTCGCTAGCAAGGCCAGCAAACTAGCAAGCTTGCTATTTTGCTAGCTTATTTGCTTATATTTGGTGAATATTACTGCTATCTAGCTTGCTAAATTACAGTGAGTAACACTAAACTAAGCATTTACTGTTTGCTATCAAATTATGTACACCAGTTGTAATTAGCTAATTAGTTGGCTAGGTAGGTATTTCACTGGATTTGCTGGTTACATTTGGTGCATATCAATGCTAATTACCTAGCTGTATTGCAAAATATGTATAAGGATTTTGCAAAAGGGGACCACAAACTGGAATACAAATGCCAATGAATAATATTTATGACAATGAACAACAAAGTTGATGTTACCTTTTAGCTCCGTATACCCGGTAGGGTAATCCTGGAGCGATCCATTTCATTAAATTAATTTGAGGCTGAGCAATTCCGGAAAGTATCCAAATCCCATTATACATTTCAATGGGGATTTTACTTCTGTCTCCAAAATGTAAGTAGCTGTGATGTAGTCAACTCAATATGCTATTTGCAGTGCATTTAATCACACATTGTTACCAGCTATCTTAGTGGGGCTTGAAGCCCACAACCCAGGCCTCACAAATTCTTTCAATGTCCTTATGCATAACTCTTGGACACAGCTTCAGGGGGCACCCAGAGTTGAACTGGGGACCTCTTGATCTGCAGTGAAATGGTCTACAAATGAGCTATACCCCCTGATGTTCAATCTGTATAAAGTACATTAATTCTTCCTAAGTAGCACAGGTGTTATCAAAGTTGTTTTCAGACGCTTAATTTCCCTTAAGTGTTCACTTAAACCTGAACAAAGCCCAAAAGCTTGAAAAATAAGGAGTGGAGCATGACGCCAAAACAATTTGTTTTAATTCTGCTTCGACCAACCCTTGATTCTGTGTGAAAACTTGTGGACCCAACAATTTGACATCATTTTTCATGCTTCATAGGGTCTTGTAGCTCTGAAGCTTGGCCTGAAGATATCCTTCAGTTTTCAAAATTATTGCTCCCATCAACAATTGCAGGCACTACCCAGATATGAAATGGGGCCCTTTTGATCTGCAGTGAAATGGTCTACAAATGAGCTGTAGCCCCTTAAAACTGTTTTTCATTACACATTGTTCAAAAGAATACATTCCCGTAACAAACCCTACTCCATCAAAAAACATTCAGTCCCTGACAAATAGAATGAAGCTTCCCATGTGGGACAGGAGTAATGAAAATTGTTTGAATACCTCAAATTTTTGTTTTCATGTGAATGCAAAGAATTGTGACAATATTGAAGAATTAGTGGTGGAACATGGAGACAAAATGATTTGTTATTATTCTGCTTCACCCAACACTAGCTGTTGTGAGATAATCCGTGGACTTTGAAATCGATCATTGTTAGTCACGTTGCATTGCGCGCGCGGCAGACTGCTATGGTTAAGCCCGTGATCTACTTACGCTTTTAAGGTCTCCGAATGTCCCAATTCTCCCCTTCCGACCAGTTACGAGCGATTACGAGTGGAAATTTCTGTTATGCGCAGGTGGATTTTGACTTCCGACCTGTTCTGACCCTTCCGCGTGAATAAGACAGGTTCCGACTTGATCAGATCACACGGATCCCTCTTCCTACAAAATCAAACCAGTTTGATTTTGTTGGAAGGTATGAGTTGTCGGAAGGACGCAGGAGTATCTGTTTGTCAAGTGCAAACTAGGTGGCGAATATTTCCTCTGCAATTAGCCAATTAGAAACCGTTTGCAAAAACAACCGCCATCTTTATTGTTGACGTTGGCAAAAATCAATCGGAAATGCTCGCGTTAGTCGATCA